GCATACACAAACATATGAGAATGTTTATAGCTTACAATATGAGTAGCTGTACTTCTGTGGTCTATGTCAGATAAACGGTATATACATGGTTTATGATTTACTGATTGTATTTCATCACTGACCACTGTCTCATGTTCTCATAAAACAATAACAGTTTCAGTGTTTCTGAAATCTGCAAGATGTTGAGAGATGCATTGTAATAAGACGCAAATGTTGGGTGGGAGGTTTTAGTATGATGAATCGGCAGTTATCTATTTAAAAAAAAAACTTTCATAGACCATCAGTTCATATTTATGTAGAGGAAGTGGCATGCTCTACAATACAGTGAAGAGTACATGTATATACAGTGGCACTGTTCTCAGGATTCTATTTGACACTTATTTATCGCTATTAATGACCATGTCTTGTTGGGTGCTGTAACTGATAATATTAGTTTATACTTTACTGGTGTCTTATCTTGCTCCTTGTGAAATTTTAGAATGTCAAAAACAATCTGTATTTTGAAATTAGCCGTAATACTACTAAGTAGGCTTTCTCTGTAAATATTATATTTAAAAATACAATTTTATTTTATCAACTTAATACAATTTCCCTCATTTTTAAAGAGCTTGCCAGTTTGTGAAATTCAATCTTGATAAAATATATTATTATACATCTGTCACCGTAATGCCATGAATTACAGCATGCCATAATTTTGCCTTATTTTATGGGGTATTTTTTTTATTCTACCATATTAGGAAATGCGAATTCCAAATATGGAATGATTACACACGTAAGTGTCCTCTAATAATAAAAACAAACATGACTGCCACTAGAGTTTGACAGGAATCCACATAAAGAAGTTCGCTGATTCTGTTCTAAACATTTTGGATTTCGGCATGAAGTATCCTTGGAAGGAAAAGATGTATAATAATAAGGAGATTATAAGGATACCTCAAAGTATGCACTCAGACAGTACGCTGCACATCGACTTCCACTGCATGTTTTTCGATACTTCCGCTGTACTGCCTTTGTGCATACTTTGAAGTATCCTCATAATAACCTTATATTATTAGTAAACAAAAGATTACCAACACTGCCCACCAGAGGGCAGCCAACATTTGTCTTTTCCCAGCCTGAGGTGTTGGGTAATACAATAGTAGGTAGATGATCCACCAAGGTCAGTTTGTTGTTTGTTTCCGGGGCAATGATGCAAAGATAGCCGCTGTTATATCACATGTACATGTTTTAACATAGTACACTGGGTTTTAAGTGTCATGGAAGTAAGAGTTGCAGTATAATTTATAGTAAGAATTTCCAGTATAAATAAATAAATTTACTGTTGGCTTTGAACTAAAACGATGGGTTTTAATTAAACTAGTAAATTAGGAGTAACAAGTTCTCGGGAAATATCACCATTGTACTAATATCTTTTTAAAATGCTTGTGTAAACAACAAGAAAGTTACAGTACTTGCTCTATAGGTAGAATATTGTGCTTTGATACATAAATAAGTATATATTTAAAATAAGCCAAATTTGAATGATCAAGAAATACAATTTTGGGTTTATATGCCCTTTTGTTAAGATGTGCTTCTCATAGGACAAATATGGTATATGGCTAGAGCTCTGTGTATATATATATATACACTCTAATACAGTACTTTATTAAATTTACAAACAAAAAATTAATTTATTACAAGTAATTCACAAAAAACCTTGAAGTTCTGTACAATTTGTCTGTAAATGTTGCTGTACATATTACTTTGTTTGAATTGTTACCATCACTTCCAGTATTACTGTTCTATACATCCTTCCCTCCATCTACCGTATTCATTATATCAGTGATCATGTATTGGGATTGTACTGTTGGTGTATATTGTGATCCATTGTCTGAGAACACCTTCATACGAATAATTGAGTTGCTGCAATGGTCTGCTCTTCTTTGACTTAACTTGACTTCTGTGAGCATCATAACAGCTTTGTGTTTTGTTGCATTTCATGACAAATGTTATTTATAAGTCCCATCCCAAACTAAAGGAAGTCGTGCAAACATCAGAATGCACACATGCCTTGAATGGATAATAAAAAATATGTTGATTTCACTTTCAGCAGATATAGTATCTATTCTCAAATGTTATTGACACTTTTGTTCATCTACCTCATTCCCTCTTATATTTCCAAGCAATCCTATAATAAATGGATTATTCCACTCCAGATGATTATCTAATTTTTGGTTTATTAATGTGCGAGTTGATACAAACTTAAAATGTGTACAAGTAGTGACAATCTAAAGGTTCAATATACCTGCAGTGTCGCATTAAAGAAATGCTCAAGCTAAATTGTGATGTGTTCCAGCATTAATTTAAAATCCTTAGATGTGCAGTCTGTGTGAAACTTAATATGTTATTGTACTGATCCTGTCTACCAAACAATTGTGTGTAATGCTGACACTGACAGTACATTTACTGTGATTATGTATTTTCTTCCAATGTCAAGAGTTTTCAAATATTTGGAAAAAAATACAGTTAAAGGTGGTAATACCATGCACTGTTCTTAAACAAAATTGCACATTCTCAATGGCTAAGCATGGTCAGATGATCAGCACATGTACCATATTTGTTCTATTAGTTGCTCATGTTGCTCAATTTGTAAATAAGGTAATCAAATCAAGTATACAATAAATACAATTTTTGGTTTTATGTGCTTTTCAATACCGGTATATTGC